GACAATTGAAATGGATCAGTCCTTGGTTCTAGGGCTCCCCTTTGGGCCTGTCCTAAGTATCCCACGTGGGGGCCAGACGGGAATCCCTGAGCTTTCTCTCTCACACACACACACACACACACACACACACCCCATAACCACCAGCTTCCCAAATCCACACCTTACGGGAATTCTGGTGTATGACATCCTCAGTCTGTGGGGTGTAGTTCCAAGAGGGCTGTCTGTAGCAGGAACATCACTTTGGATCAAAGAATAGGGAAGGTGATTAAATAGCATTAATCATATAAAGGATGAAAGCACATTATTACGGCCACAGCGTACAGTCACAGACCACTTCTATCCCTCTTCCTCTTGGCTATATCAAGGCCCGTTCTCCCCCTCTCCCTCCTTTCCTCCCACCTTTCCCAGTGTCTGTGTGTGCGTGTGGCGGCCCGCGTTTCCGCATGAGTGCCCGTGCGCCCTCCCCCGCCTAGCCCCCCCCCCGGTCACGACCGTCCACTCTCTCACAGATCCACCTGGACGTGAGTCACCATGACCGAACACCAGAGGCAGCGCTCGCTCTCCACATCGGGGGAGACCCTCTACCACGTGCTGGGAGTCGAAAAGAACGCCACGCCAGACGACATCAAGAAGTCCTACAGGTGGGCAAGCCGGGGCGCCCCCCAGTGGTCCTGACAGAACACTGAGAGGCTGGTGATACCAGTCATATTTTATGACTAGAGAGTTATAATAATACATGTCATGCATTCATTTTCTCTTATTTTACTCAGTTTGGGGTTACAATGAGCCTGGAACCTATCCCAGGCCTCACAAAATTGTAAATTATCAGATTTTACGGATAATCTCTCTAAAAATACACACCTGTCCCTAGTTATCAAGCCTGATTTGTTTGCAGAACATTTGTAAAACACTATTTCCCTTATATCCTGGAAAAATTACTGCCGTTTCAGAAGAACACAAGTTCACTCAAATTAAACCTGAACAGAGAAATCCGATTCGAAGCTTATTCTGTGCTTTATGTGGCGTGTCCTTCACATATAGCAGCTAGCTAGTGATGTCGGGTTATAAAACGCCGTATGCTGGTGTGATGTGTTTGTTGTCTCTGATATATAAAGGCTGGTGCATACTTCTCCATACAAATAGTAGCGGATATGTCCACTCAAACGTTTACCTTTATTACAAGGTGATAAAACTGTTATACATGTAAATGCGAGTGCAGACTTGTGTTTGAATTGGGAACCTCACTCCAGCCTGCTGAGCAAAGTTGGCAGCCCTGTGAACTGGCTCTCTGAAACGGACACAAAGCTCACTGCTGTGGTACGTGTGCAGGGAATAGCAGAAAAATAATAAAAATATAAATGCAACACATTGTGTGCATGTGCAAAGTATGCGGTTTGACCAGAGAGCTATGACCGTTTCCGGGTACGCATATGCAGGGCAGATTTACGCTTGTGTGGAGAAGTATGAAGCAGCCTTCACTGTAAAAGCAGTGCCTTCATCTGATACAGTGTTGTTTTTCTCCAACACTGCTTTGGCTCCACCAGGGGGCGACAGTGAGCAGTGTGTGTGTGTGTGTGTTTTTTTTTTTCCTTTTCTTTTACTGTTGTTCCGCATTTTCTGCAGAACGGCAGATATTTAAAACTATGTTTACTAGCAAACTTCCTTAGAAAAGCAGAGGTTAGGGGCTTTAAATATTTAGCACTGATATCCCTCCCGTTTTTCTCGCTCTCTCATCAGAAAACTAGCACTTAAGTACCATCCCGACAAGAACCCAGACAACCCCGAAGCGGCAGACAAGTTCAAGGAGATCAACAACGCACATGCGATACTAGTGGACGGCACCAAACGCAACATTTACGACAAATATGGCTCCCTGGGGCTCTACGTGGCCGAGCAGTTTGGGGAGGAAAACGTCAACACCTACTTTGTCCTGTCAAGCTGGTGGGCCAAGGTGAGCTGCACAAAATCCCGCCATTTGTGCTCAGTCACATGGTTACCTTGCTTCCCATTGGTTATTGGCCCTCCCTTCGGCAGTGATCGACAGGCTCGAACTCCGCCCACTTTCCACCATCTCCTCGTGCTGCAGAGTAGGGCCCAATCCCGAACTATACCCTCGACACTTCGCCTTCATTATTAGTTACGCTCGCGCTGAGTTGCTCTCACAGCACGCCCTGTGCACTTAAAGTGAAAGGAGAATTTCGCAAGGAAAACCTGAGACGCTCACCGTCACTCCGCCTTTTTCAGTCGTCTTTACGGGAAAGAGAAAATGCGTTACGTTGTGATGAAATGGCTTCCTCGAAAAGCTGAATTGTCATTCCTTTAATAAGATGAGTTGTATAGGCTGTTAAGAAAATCAAAAAGTTTATCCACTGCGAGATCACAGCGGTTACGTGGTTTTTATAATGCTGAGTAATTTTGAGTTCATTATCGTATAATCTGGACCAGACTTGATTGAATGAAAATGGACAAATATTAGTCATGCCTATTCAGCTCATGAAAATGAACTTCAAAAGCGTAAGGTTCACATACGCGTGTGTTTAACCATTTAGTTGCAGTAACTTAATACTAACTTGATATTTAATATTTTAGTATGTAATTGTTTTTATAGATTTATATGCCAATGCATTATCCTCAGTATATTTCGCGCTGTTCTGTTTCCTGTGTGCAAAGCATTGTGGGATATTGAAGTCATCACTGCTGACTGGCTTCATGAGGGCATAATGGGCCAATCCCCCTTAGCCCTTGTTGCTTTGAGAGACACTTCAGTAAGGCTAAGTGGCGAGGCGGAGTGTGTAGGGACCGGTTTGGGTCTAGCTGTGTACTGCATCTTAAGTCCCTCTACGCTTCCTTTCTCACGCCTCCTCCTCTCTTGCGCCCCCTGCAGGCTCTGTTCATCTTCTGCGGCCTGGCGACGGGCTGCTACTTCTGCTGCTGCCTGTGCTGCTGCTGCAACTGCTGCTGCGGGAAATGCAAACCGCGGCCCCCTCCGGACAGGGAGCCAGAATTCTACATGTCTCCCGAGGACCTGGAGGCCCAACTGCAGTCTGACGAGAGAGGTACGGAGGGGGCGGGGCCAGAGGTGGGGGGCGGGGCCAGAGGTGGGGGCAGGGCCAGAGGTGGGGGCGGGGCCACAGGACCACATGGTCATAGAGAAAGGGGGTGACTATAAGTAGGGTGAGTTCCACCCTAGAAGCTTCCTGGGTGTTAGACACACTCTTGATCACACTGCGCACACACCTGACACGTGTCATGGGCTGCTTGAACAAATCCCCTGATGAATTGTCATTCATCTCCTGTACCTTCAGAATGTCCTAGACCAAAAAATTGATTTCATGAAATGCATTTTATATACAGTTTTTCCTGCTGATACAGCTGCTCTCCCGTCTCTTATATTTAATTTGTCCGTTTGCTGACATACCGGCCTCGGTCCTGTTTTTTTTTGTTCTTGTTCTTGCGTGTGATTGGCCATTGTAACATTCTAGCTGCATTTATTGGTTTCGCGTTTCTTGAAAGTGATTTAAGCCGGTCAGTAATCATGCTAAGGGTGAGATTAGCATAGGTCCTCCCTCCTAAATATCCAGTCATATATTTCTTCAGTTGCCCCCAGTCATGCCAAATTTAAAGTCCTCTCCTTTCTAATTAAACACCTGTCTTTTTTTACCACATAGTATGTCTGTCCCGCTCTCTCGCTCTCTCTCTCTCGCTCTCGTTTTCTTTCTCCGTTTTGAGCTTGAGTTGTTGACCTGAGGTGGTCCTGCTGGGAGAGGGGCTCGGTCATGACCAGAACCTATAATCGAGGGCTAATACCCGGTTTGACCCAGGAAAACACGTGCTAACAGTCTGCCATCAGGCCCAGAGCTGTAGGTTGTCGGGACTCTGTGCCTGTGATCAAATCCCAGTGAGTTCGCTGTTGGACCCTTGAGCGAGGCCCTTAACCCCCAGTTGCTTCAGGGACTGTGTGACTCTGCTCCGCAAATGTATGTCGTCTTGGATAAAAGTGTCTGCAGAGTGTTATGGTCCTAGACGCTTAGCAGACCACACATCGATTGTTGAAAATGCGAATAATACACGTGCGGCTGCCCCGAGGCGAGTGCTTTCCTCACACGTGCAAGCGTCTGTGAGCATGCGTGTTCTCACACGTGTGTGTGTGTGTCTCTCACAGAGGGTGGGGATCCCATCGTGATGCAGCCGTCCTCGGCCACAGAGACGACCCAGCTGACGACAGACAGCCACACCAGCTACAGGACGGACACGGGCTTCAACTAGAGCACCCCCCCCCCCCCCCCCCCCCCCGGTGTATTAGTAGCATTTATGATGTTTCTCTAATGTGAGCTAGTACATAACCCCCCCCGCCCCATGTCCCCTAGGCCTGCTGCACCCCCCTCCTCATTCCCACCCCCTTCCCCTGCTCAGTCCAAAAACCCAGGCAGAGGAATACAAGACACGGAGATGCCATTTCCATCCCGTATGGTCGCCGTGCCGAGGAAGATGAGTGGGATGAAGAGGCTGACTCGGAACAAACTGACCTTTTCAGACACCTTCCACCACCAAAGTGACGGGCATCAGCATTTCTACAGAGGACCATTCTGCCCCCCCCCCCCATCCGGTACTCCGGAGCTCCACCCCCCATCCATGCTGCAAGCCCCTCCCCCCCTTCCCATTTTTTGCAGTGTTTCACTCTGTTTATTTTTCTACACCCCCCTGGTTTTAAGCATAATCTCACATGGTCATATGTTCTTATATGTTTGGTGTAAGTGTGCTCATACAATTTAGGGTACATTGCCCACCCCCATGAAGGAAAACTGTAAGTCATGTTATTTCCTTATGGTGCCCTGAGGGTTTCTCCCACCCCTGTCACTCCTGCACAACCCCTCCCCCCCCCCTCCCCAGTTAGCATCCGGTTCTTGCCCAGGCCCGTGAATCTCATTAGCTAAAAATTGAGTAACACAATACTGAAAAATCACCCTGCATGGCGTGGGCAGAGAGCCCAGGCGAGTTACTGCTGTTGAATGACTAGTTTGTTTTTTTTTTTATCTATGCAGTATCTACAGAGTGTGTCACCCCCATAAGACTTTTTGGTTCTTTCCATTTTAGACTGAATTCTGTGGATGATACCATTTGTAGAACTTCAGCAAGGTCAGATTACCATCATACATTACTGATATATTTATTTTTTCCCCTGGGGGATGTTTACTGATGATAAAGCCTCTATTGGTTTAGTCTCCTTTTGGTGTAGAGAGGAATTGTGACCATTAACGAAGCATTAATTCAGAGTTTTCTTGTCTTGATCCCAGAGTTTGCGGGCACCAAACTGATCATCTGCGTTCAGTTTTTACGATGATGTCGGAAGAGGATGGTCATTTTGTTGTCTACCCCTGCTATTTACCAGTCTGTGCATAGTCCTCGTTTTATCTCCGAAGTCTGTTTCACCACAGCTGTGCGTTCAGGGTCTATAAAGGCCTTTGGGGTGGGGTGCGGGGTCAACAGAGGGTCCTGAAGATACCAAACCACTTGTGGTCAGCTTGCTACACTAATGGTGACGTGAAACCTGGGTGGAGGTACCTGGGAAGCATGCTAAGTATTTCGTATCTCGTATAATAGGAATTATTCGTAAGCTCAAATCGATTACCGCAGTGTTTCCAAACCCAGTCGTTGGGGACCTTAGACAGTCCATGTTTTTGCTGCCGGGAGCTGGGAGGGAGCAAAAACGTGGACTGTCTGCAGGTCCCCAAGAACCAGGTTAAGAAACACTGGTTTAGAGGATGGAGGGGACAGTACAGTGATTAGGGTGACCAGATAGGACACTTTGAGCTTCAGGATTTACAAACTACCTTAAAACTGAAAGGCTCCTGTGCCTTGGCTGAATAGGTCACTTTTTCTTGCACTTTAACTGGTTTGTTTCCTTGATTGAAAGACTCATCCAGCTGTTTCACATTAACATTAGTGACTCGTGCATGATTATAGGAGACTGACCAATCAGCACACAGCAAGAACTCAGTGCTTAAATGAAATCCGGGTCCTTTTAATTGAAATGGAAGTTTACATATCCGGTCCTAGCCTAAAGTTTCCTCCCTGACATGGATTATCTGGTCACCCTTGGAATGAGGTGAGCTTTCAGAAGCCTCAGACTGTAGTTCTGCAAGGGTGGGTAGCAGAGCCAGGCAGCCATTGGTTGGACCTCTCTTACTGCTAATTTGGTGGGACTAATCCTGATTTTTTATTTTTTTTAAAGAGAGAATTGGCATCTTCGCTTTTCTCAGAGACTTAAGTACTGTAGGTTCCTGAGTCTGTAACGCTGAGCAAACTGTGAAACACTGGATTAAAGATCAGGCACTGAGCCCAGCTGGCTGTGTGTGTGTGTGTGCGTGTGCGTGCGTGCGTGTGTGCATGCGTGCGTGTCATTTTAGTTCTGCTCATGCCACAAGCTGTTATATTCTGTAGAACCCCCCCCGAAGGCACCCCCACCAGCACCTGTGCTGTTGGTGACAGAGCGGGACAACGTCGGCGGGCCTGGGTTCGAGTCGTGGCTGTCTGCATGTTTAAGACAACGTGTCCTTTGCTTAAATGACACAGAGGGTGTATAGAAATGGCCTGCAAAACAGAGGGAAAATATACTTACGTTTGATGTAAAAATCTGTTCTTACATTTTTTTTTTTATTTGATGCATAAGATTTTTTTTTATGAGATATTCGAGCTGAAATTTTGTCAAACTGGATTTCTGCAGCACTTCTAATCTGACTCACAAGGACGCGTTTATCCTCCGTATTCTGAGCCTGAAATGTCCGTGTTAGACAACAGCGAATGTATCTATATAGGTACAGGTATCTAACCAGGTATCTAACGTGTAACCAGGTATCTAACGTGTAACCAGGTATCTAACGTGCAGGACCATATTCCGGTAACCATTCTACGCCATGTTATGATACTGTACACCCGTGACTTAGCACTGATTATTGTATTTGTATGTTTTTAATCATTACGCTACAATCTCTACCGGGTCTGAGCTCTAACCAGGGACGTCCTTCAAATCGTTTTATTTCCTGTAGGACGACTCTGCTGGTGCTTTTGCATCGGACACAACCCCGCATACACCACAAATCAATCTGATTAAAATGATAATTATAGGAGAAATAGAAATTAATATATTCGTCTTGTATTTTCAGTTACATAAAAGGGGTTTTGTCAGGGCATGTTTGCACTACGTTGGAATATAACATCTTTGAAGGTGCATTTAAAGTGGAACAGGCATTGCAAAATAAAATAAAAATATTGTTCGACTTTATTTGAAAACGGGTACAAGTGTTATACTAGTTAAGCTGTTTTGATGAATCTTTCCCCGAAGAATCGTGTCTGATCATTGTAATTGAATAGATAGTAATTCTTGTTGCGATAATTTCTTTATCACAGTTAAGTATTGTTTGACAAGCCTGATTCCTCATTAATTAAGAAGTTGCTCGCTTAACCCGGCCAGGATAAGCAGTTACACGATGAATTGATAGATTTTTTTTTAACTATTACTTGATGTTTTGGTTTTTAACTGTGATGCGCAAAATCGGTAGCGGTATAAGAAAGTAAACTTTCGGTTAGTTTATTCCACGTGGTAATATAGCCCGTCAATTCTGGTGAAGTTCATCCGGCTGATGATCTGTAGTAACCTCATTCAGAGGATAATTAAAAAATAAATATAGATACTTATCAAGGGAATGAAATTATGTAAATTTCACTGCCTGTAACGCCAATCATTTACCTTTTACGGTTTGTGTGTTTTTTTTTCTTGAATATGTCTTAATACCAGGGGTTCAATCAACCTAATCATTTACACTGGAGTCAGACCCCCTACGCTCCTGCTTTCCCGCAGCCTGGTCGGTTGTGTTTCTATCTGTAGTAGGCCCTAACTCACTACGGAATAAATATCCCAGAGTCCCAATTGCTGTGGCTTCTTTCAGATGGGAACTGCTAACTGTTCTAGTGAATGCAATGTGTATTCAAGAGTATATCTCAAAACGGATCGATTAAAAAAAAAAAAAAAAACGTTCTGTTAGAACCTTCAAACAAACATATAGTGCATAGTGGTACGGTTATATGACGCATTTATTTATTTAATTTTTATGTTTTTAATAAAAGACTAGTTTAAATGGTATGTCGTTAGATGTGGCCATTAAACAAGGTGTAATACAAGAATTAATGGTTAAGGTCTCTTGTACATACACTGTATGTGAATATATTGAGTATAATACCAGTTTTATGTTTTAGCATGTTTATTTACTGTGTGTTCAAAATAAAACAAACATGGGTGATTATCTGATTTGCTGTTGTACAATAAATGTTTCGGACGCTTACTCTCCTTTTTCTCCTGTGGTTTTTTTTTCTCATAAGTTTTATATACCTGGTCTCACCTGCGGTCATTTCTCTGTTGTCTTGCCTTTGCCTTGCTCTTTGATGTATAGACAAAATTTAAAACCGATATGGAGTCTTGGTTCTTGGAAAGTATTTTTTAAAAATTGCACTGTTTTTTTTTTTGTTTGTTTGTTTTCCTCCCACCGCATCTAGCCGTTCTAATACATGATGGTATCATCCCGCTCCCGAGTAGTTTCTTGGTTTGCGTCAATAATTCTGGCCCGCGGGGGGGGGGGGCGGTTTTGCGGTTGCTGTTCTCTAAGGACGAGTGATAAAAAGGGCGGGTAACCCGAGCCAGCCAGCCGGCTGTGTCGTGGCATTCCAGCGGATTCTTAATATGGCGAGAGTGGGGCGCCCCCGCGCCTCTGCCAGAAAGCCGACGCCAGCTGTTCTTTTAATGGCGCTGTGCGACCTATCAGTGCAACGCGCTTCACCTGCAGCGGTGACTCCAGTTTCGCAGACCCGGACGCTTGTTCGAGATCATCCTCGCAGTCCTACTGACCCCCCTTCGTTATTCTCCACTTTTTCCCCCGCACCGGAACTCACCTGTCACCCCTCCCCAAAACCTCCTGATTTCCCTGGACTATTTGGGCATTATGACCATGCCCTTGGAGCTGGGGTCTTACCACCGGGAGCCGAACGTGAGCAGCCTGGAAAGTCAGCTCGTCTGCCCCATCTGCCTGGAGCTCTTCACCAAGCCCGTCGTCATCTTACCCTGCCAGCACAACCTTTGCCGAAAATGTGCCAACGAACTCTTTCAGGTTAGACACCCCCTGTCTGATTTGTATCGAGTGCCACCTGCTCTGCTCTGTTGGTTTAGCATGTTTTCCTTTAGCCGTTTTACTTGCACAACACGATTTCCATTTTTAAGACTCTTCCCGATTATGACTATTAGGCGCTTCTCAAATAAGCACTAGTTAAGACGCGGCCAGTTGCCATTTCATATCAGATCGCGTGTATCGGAGTTGGAGAATTGCTGGTGACTTGATGTGTGTTGTGAGTCACTTCTGCTTGTCATAACAATGAAAGGAAGAAAATTATTTATATATTGGAATCACATGGTGGATCAGACACTGAGCTCTAGGAGAGCGAGGGTGAGGTGTCCAAACAACACCAAGGACTGATCCAAAACAGGTGTGGATTACAATGGCTGGACTAGCTTTCCAGAAATACACACGCGTCCTTTTGACATCGTGATTTTTACCTCCCCTTTTCTATCACCTTCGCATGAAATACAAAATCACGCCGGGTTCGAGCTACTGAGGATCCAGCAGAGGTTGCGTAAGTTCATCAGATTCCCCGAGAATCCCCTGGCAATTCCAGGTTTCTGTGGTTCGTTCGGGATCTTGTTCTCGAAGTCCCGGCCAAAAATATATAGTCCTGGACCTGGTGGAGATTCTTTAGCCATTGCTGCCTGCAGAATAGCAGTAGGAAGATTTAAAATGCCTTTACTTGCAATATGTATTCCCACTAGTGCAGTTCCTGTGATTCCCTCTCTGAAGAATTCTTCTGAAAGCATTAGCCTGCAAAAGCAGAATCAGCATATGGAATGTGGGGGCACTGGGTGACAAAAGGACCAAACATCTGTGACATTCAGTCAATCCAGGTTGCTGCCTCAGACCATAGAGGGCCAGACAGAATGTTTGGCCAGAAATGAGTGTCTGTGGCTTGATGGTCAGATACTTTCCCTTAGCTGTAAGACGGCTCTAGGGGGGCATTGAGTTCCCCATCTGGAGAAAGAAGCAGGGACTGTTAAAGCAAAGCTATTTCAGTCCTCCCATCCAGCCCCCATCTTTAACTTCCCCTGAGACGGACACAAGAACAACTGTGGCCAGTTGGTCCATCTCCTTCTGCAAGCCGCCCCACTTGTTTACCAAAAACTGAACCTGAAACAAAGCCGTCAGCTGTCTCTCGTTTTCACCCGGGGATGGTTCCGGTAACCATGGCGACTGGTGGCTACTGCTGGTTATCTCGGTGAGAAAGGACCGCTCGACAAGTGAGGATTGTAGTCATCTCTTTTTCAGGGCCGGGGCACGATGGTGGGGGCTGGGGGGCACTTCCGCTGCCCGTCCTGTCAGCACGAGGTGGTCCTCGACCGCCATGGCATCTATGGGCTGCAGCGCAACTTGCTAGTTGAGAACATCATTGACGTCTACAAGCAGCAATCCTCCAGGTACGTCTCTGAGTACATCCAAAGACAACAGAGAGGTAAAGATTCCAGACACTGCTGTTTTCCAGCTTGATAGTTTAATAAAACCAAGGAAAGTCCCATTCCAGATGTAGACATTAGTCCAAAGCATTTTTGGACCTTCAATATGGGAATCCAAAGACATTCCCATCTAAGACCTTCAAAGGAACTCAGTTGACTCACAGCTTCCAGTGATTCCTGTGACTTTAGCTCTGGGCCGTCCCTGAAGACTGCTGGCCATCCCATGTGTGAGGAACATGAAGATAAGAAGGTCAATATCTACTGCCTGAGCTGCCACATACCCACCTGCTCTCTCTGCAAAGTGTTTGGTGCCCACAAGGCCTGCCAGGTGGCTCCGATGCCAGAAGTCTACGAGCAGCAGAAGGTCAGTGGACCATTACTGCTGAAGGTCATGTGATGAAATTTGATGTTGCTTTTGAGTTTTAACCACCTTTGAAGGAATGTTGCACAGATCAACAATATAGTATCATAAACCACAAACCGTGCAGTAGGAACATACTAATGCTAATTAAAGCTTTACACTGCTTGGCTTGATTTCCCTCCCTATTTTGGCTTGTCATCTATTGAGAGACTAGTCAACTATTTCTCAACAGGCTGAGCTCAGCGGTGGGATTGGGACTCTTGTTGCTGCTAATGACCACGTCCAAGCCTTCATTACTGAGCTGGAGGATACCTGTAAAAACATTGAGGTGTGTTTCACACATCGAGATGGGTAAGTTTTCAAGGAATCTGGTGTAGGATATAGGGGTCACACCTGACCTACCTGACGAGAAGTAGACTTGCCACAGCCCGCACTGATTGACCCCCGAACATTACAAGAAAAACAGACCTATTAAAATGTAACATTCATCATCAAAAATGCAAGTCTACCATATGAGATAGATGTTCTGCCCCAGGAGAACTGCGAAAGCCAGAAGCAGATGGTGTGCGAGAAGTTTGATCGTATGTCCAGCATCTTAGAGGAGCGCCGGAACGCCATGCTGCATATGATCACCACTGAGCAGGAGGAGAAGGCGGGGCATGCCCGTTCCCTGACGCAGACCTACAAGGAACACTTGGAGGCCAACTCCAAGCTGGTGGAGACGGCATTGCACACCATCGAAGAACCCGATATGGCCACCTTCCTGCAGGTACACGTGGCAGCTTAGTGGGATACTACCAGCCGGCTCTGGAAGAATTGAGGCTAATCAGTACTATTTTATTACGCTCATCCTTATGCTAACAATGATAACAAGGTAACATTTCTTAAACTTCTTTTTCCTGTAGAGCTCAAGATCCCTCATTGAAAAGTAAGTGAAAATCTCCTTTTTCAGTACATCCACCACATTTTTGTAGAACTCCGATTATCCCATAGAAACAAGTTCTTTCATTTGGGTGATTATTTTTTCTTGTTTTTCATTGACTTGCATATAAGCTGACATCTCCATAGTGTATATCAGAGGTGGAAAGTTCAGGTCCAGAAAGTACAAATCCAGACCAAGAATTTGTTTCAACCAGCTGGTTGGTTTTTATTTTCTGATTTTTACTTTCTGGACCTGAAATTTCTACCTCTGGTGTATATATGTACAGCAGTCTCTCTTATACAACAAAACTGGCACTGGATTGTACCCAATTTTACCTGTTGAGTGAAAATCTTATTACCCAGCTCACAAAACACACAAATATAGGACCTCAATATCTTTTGTGGGTATACTTGGGTAGACTATGTGTCTTTACATACAGTACGTTGTAATGCTACAAAACATTTAGAGTAAAAAAAAAATAAAAATTGAGACACAAGCTAAATCTTCATGGTGAGACTGATGAAGAGTCTGTGCTGCAGATTTGTTACATACCCACCCGTGATCGATACTGTAGATGTGTTCCTGCTTCCCATTCTCAGTATTCTTGCCATGTTCCCTTCACCACTGGATCCCTCTTCTTCTGTGTCTCCTTCCCTTAATGTCTCTGTCTGTTTCTTCCACCCACCCTTTAGGGTGACTGAGGCCGCCAAGGTCTGCACTGTGGAGACCCTGGAACCAGGCTTTGAGAACATGGACCACTACAAAGTGGACTTCGATGAGGAGGAGAGATCATTGCACCTGCTGGACTTCATCAAACGTAAGCAACTGTGACAAAGTGCATGAATTCCAAGACGACAGGCATAGGACTGAACTGGAGACCGAGATTCTTCAGCAGCTTGTGGGCGACTAACCATCAAATGATGCATGATACTGCAGGAAGAGTCCGCCAACACTGTTTATAGTCCAGATGCTGTTTACCTCCCCAGCTGAAGATGAAGTCCAGGAAGTCCCAGATGAGCTAGAATCGCAACCAAAAATAAGACCAGAACCAGACCTAGGACCAGATCTGGTCCTAGAGTCTGAGCCTATAATACAACTGAAGGATGTCAACCCAAGGGCCAAGATCGGAGAAGCTGAAGAGATTGGAGTGCTGGGAGAGGCCTGTACTGGCCCCACTAAAGAACTCCCAAATGACCACAAGAGTCTGAATACTCATCAGGTACAGAGCATTCACCGTTGACATTCAGATCCTTGAATCCTTTCAGTTACACATCACTGACACATGCCAGGGTACCACATATTCACATAACTGAACAGTCAACCTCTCTACACAAGTCCAAACTGTCTATTTTGTCCCTCGTTATTTGATTATTGTGATCGCGGTGACCTTCTGTGGAACACAAACCTCTAGTGTTCCTTCTCACGTTTGTGTGCACGAGGTGAATATAAGTAATGATTCAGAAAGTTTGGGGGGCTCTAGTCCTCCTCCTCTATCATCCTTTGAAAGTGTTCCTGTCACTGTAAGGATGAGCTCGGGGGAGGTGACTCGAGGACCCGGGCATCATTGGCGGAGGCTAGCGAAGACTGGTACAAGTCAAGTGGCTGGCGGCCTGGAAACCCCAGCTCGCCCGTGTGGAGTGAGGCTTGGGAAAGTGCTGATCCCCCGTCCCTCGTAGCCAGCGAGCCACAGCTCCCATCCACTTCGGCGGGCGCCAGTGCCCCCCCCACATGCCCAGTGGACCCAGACGGACAGTTAGCACAGAGCTCCCCGGACCCCACCCAGGGACTCCTCGCGTTGTTTGACTCTGAGGAGGACTCTGAGCAAGGGGAGATCTCTGCAGGCCAGGCCCAATCAACGTCCCTATCCGTGCAGGTCTGTAGAACAGCCAGGTCATGATCCAGCCCCCATATCCTCCACCATCCCTGCCCATCAAGTCACGCCTACAACACAGTTTCCTCTTCACGCCTCTGCTGTCCTGCCAGCCATCCTCTATCATTTCCCTCCGGAGAGGGACCTCCCTGTATTCTCGTGATGTTTATTATCAAAAATGGAAAAATGGTTATTACGAGGGTAGTATGTTGCTCAGCAGGTTATGACCCTGTGCCTGTGATTGGAAGGTGTGGATAATGGATTAAATGTTACACAACTTTACAGTAGATTAACACACAACGAATCACTACCCAGCAGCACCAAAGGATGGTGCAAATGTTTATGATCCATAGACACTGATCCAATCCAGGGTCACAATACATTGAATCATCCGTCATCATGATACCCATGAGTAAGCCAGCCCTGCAACTGAGTGTCATGGGGTCCTTCTCCGTTCCGTGTTCCCATAATGCTCTGCTCCGCATCGTACCATCGCTTCCATGTCTCCATAGGCCATCTCCCTCATCTTTTACATCCTGGCGCTGGTGATCATCCTTCAGCGGGTCTGGGGTTACATTCGCTGCATCACTTGTCCGTAGCCAGGCCGGCTGGATGGAACAGCCCTGAATGCAGGTATTGTTGTACTCAGCCAAGCTGAGTAGGTGGTTACAGGTCACCCCTTAGCTGCATTTAATAAGATTATATTTTAATAAAATCACTTCCTTTTCCTAATCTTACACCCATTCATGTGATACCAGAGGCAATACCAGCAAGTTCTCGTGTGGCAGTAATCTTTATTGTATTAAAATTATTATTTAATAATTTAAATGTTAATAACTTATTTGAGGATCTGAAAAATTCACAGCAGGTTCCTGCTTTGGAATATATAGCTAAAATTCACTTCCACATGTTATAAATAAATACAGAAGTGAACTTCAACCTCGGTCATTGCTCTGCATGCTGATAATAAACTCACTCTTGCTAGGAATTTCACTGTTTTTCCTGTCTATTGCATTAAATTTTCTTATATAGTGTGGGTATTACATAAACTATAAAATACAATTATAAGTAGTATGTCTGAATATATAGTAGCCTTTGGAGCATGTCTCAATGGATTGAGCAGTAACAGAGTACCTACATATATTCTTGGATCAAAGAGATGGTGAGAAAATAGAATTCCATATATGTCAAAGGTAAAAGATACTCTTAGGAAAAACGCAGGTGAAGAGGGGCATGCTGGGAGAATGCCGAATCCCAGGTGCAGGGCTAGAAAAGATGGCACGTGGTACACGTGCTGCTCGGTTCTCAATACCTGTTCCCTCCCTCCTTTTCTAGGGTCTTGTCCCTGCAGTGGGAACCCAGGACGGGAGAGTGACGGAGCAGAGCATTGACACACCCTTTGAGCTCATCCCTACTGCCCTCTTGTGGCCGGACATATAGGAGAAACAGGCAGGTAGTGAAAGGGGCTGCACACGGTACTTATCTACTGTGACTTTGTCCGTAGCCCTATTTCTAACGCAGCTGCATTTGTGTGGAGCCCCCGAGGTTTGGTAGCCCCCTTTTGGCCACAATCAGTAACTACTCTAAGGAGGGCAGGGGGCCCCGAAATGACTTTCACACGCCTCCTTGCCGGTGTACACTTGTGCCGTCACGTCTCATGTCCCAGCGGCTTCATGATCAGGATCCATTTATTCGCAAAGTAAAAAAAAAAAGTAGGAGGAATTTGTTTCGGTGGTGGCATGTGTACAATTAAAATATATAATCAAAACAACACAAACAAGTACAAAAAAATAATAAATAGAATAAGAACAGAGATGAAAGATAGACATAATTATTAATAAATATGTAGAATAAATAAAGGATAGACACCCAGATATAGATTACAAACAGCTTTTGGGTTATGTACTAATAAGCTTAGTAAGTCACTAAGAGTGTGAAATCCATACAGTGTGTGATTAGATATGAAAGGTCACTTTAGTGCCAGTGAGCTCCGCATGGGTGCTTAAGGAGGGCAGTGGCCTGGGGGAAGACGCCGTCCAGCGCTCCATTATACTGGTGGCAATTAGTCCTCATAAAAAAACACTGTTGCAAATGACAGGATATTCAAATATGCCTCCCTGCTCGTTTTCCTCCAGAATGGAAGTGCCACCTCGCAGATGGACACTGACCCGCTCCCCACCCGCCAAACTCCACGCCTTATCTTCTCCTTCTCCTGGTTGAATGCTCTATCCAAATAGAAGTAAAGACAAGCTGGCTCTTCTGAACAGGAAGATGTGGATCTCGGGCCGCAGTGGGAACTCGGAGGTCGTCATTGCCATGCCACTTCTTACCCTGTTTATGAGAGTTTATCAGAACAGTTTCAAGCTGCCTGTAATGTGTGTCGTGGTGTTAAAATGTGTTTAACTCAATAAAAAATGTTAAATACAGAAAATACAGAATATTTCAAGGATATAACTGAACAGAACTAAGTGGACATTTAGCTAAACACTATTTCTGTCCACCCTGAACATAAACAGGATCTGGAGTGTCTGGAAGATGGATGCGTAAATGGATAGACATTTGTAATATCAATTTGCATGTCTTAAATGGCCTGGATGTTTAATTTCTTGGTAGTGTACATTATAGATTGTTTTGAATACTATATGTATTTGATCATGTTGAGATTGTATGGACTCTGCGGGCCTTAACTACAAGATTGCCTGTTGTTTGTGTGTGCTCAAATCAGCTCTTGTTTTACCTGCCTAGTTAAAGTGTATCCATGGCAATCTTATGTGCAGATATGTCAAATAGGGCACAGTAATTTCCCTTATATTACTCAAAACATATCTAAACAATCCATATGTCACACATTAAAATGAACTATAATGGGATGATTTTATATATATATATATAATAAAATATGTTCCACAAAAGTGTGTTTAGCAGGGTGTGTCCTAGCCTGTCTGCCAATAAACACGCTCATATTGACTGTGTCCATAGAGAAATGGATTCAGCACTCAGGCTGAAGATCTTCACGACCATGACCTGGCAGTATTTTTTTCTACGAAAAAAATGATTTAACAAGCAAATAGGGAAGTAGATTCTGGACCAATAAAATATCAACTTGCTTATTATAAAGTATTTTGCCACTTGTTCTAGGCTTTTGAAGAATAACTGCAGCAAAAGCAATTGAATTTTTTTTAGATAAAATAGCACATTTGATAGAAAACAGCACTTGGACATGAGGCAAATGATGCCTGGAGTTCTTGAATAAGCCATTCTCCTTTGGCTGGAATCTCTTTGTTTGCTTTTCCCAACATAGAAATGGAGAAGAAGCAGGTCCAATAGCTGAGATATTTGACCTTTTTGGTGTTTCAGTGCCTCATGATCCCTCAGGAGATTTGCCTCAGCCACATCCCAGGGATTATTTACTTTAGGTCAGTCATTTTATTCTGTTCCTCCTCATATATGCTGTGTCACAACTCCTGCTTAGGGTTCGTATAAATTCAAAACCACTCTGTTGATGTTTAAGATCAACAGTTTCCCCATAATCTGTGACAACTTCCTCATTACTCATAGATTCATTAAGTCAGGTGTCTTGGCAAGACTGAAAACTTGTTATACCAGCACAAGTCTAAATATGGTTATGGTGATGTCTTCAAAACAATTTAATGTACATTTAACAGAAAAATCACAGTAAACCAATTGTTTCACAAAAAATGTGAACATAATCCCATAGTGTAAAGAAAACGATTTAAGACTGGGAGGTTTAAAGTTCCTCAGAAAATCAGTCTGATGTGAAACCCAAGCATAATCAAATATTTACACGCAGTGATCCACTGCTGTTTCACTGGAGCAAAAGACCCCCGCTGGTACATCTATTAGTATTTCAATAAACTTTTGTAACACAAGCACAAACTATGACTTTTTGTTATTTGTGTTTCGAAGTTTCATTCGACCAGAAACAAACCAGCAATTAAATTAGATAGATAGATAGATAGATGATAGATAGATAGATGATATAGATAGATAGATAGATAGATAGATAGATAGATAGATAGATAGATAGATTAGATAGATAGATAGATAGATAGATAGATAGATAGATAGATAGATAGATATGCCTTAAATGTATCGCCTTATTTGTTGTTCAGGCCGCAGGTCTATTTACAATCACAACAGAGTACATTTATTGTCATTGTACACAGCAGGTGCAACGAAAGGCTGTGGGCTCCACTGACAACGTAAAAGGACTTTCGAAATCATACAGGCTATTACTCCGATTACCTTTCTTGTTTTCGGTAGCGCAGGTTGTTACAGATATAAATCACGTTAAATAAAAAGTAAACATTACATTAACGTGGTTGTAGTCTAGACGTGCCGTCATGTTTTATTGATTCATTTTACGTGATTACATAAAGCATGGTTATTTCGAAAGTGACACGGTGTATTTTTAAACAAATTATAAGACGGTATATTGACTTTCATTCACATTCCCCCACGACAGCGCGCCGATGACGCGTCATATTCGCAGGAAGTGGCGTCAGAGAGATATGCGGAACTAGCCGAGCTGGCCCGTCTGGCTCGAGGACCTGCGCGCGGTGGTTGTTTCGCTGTATCCGTCTCTACGGAGGCCGATGTTTTGCTGGTGGCCGCTCGACTTCTCCACATCGGACGCAGAAACTCACGTACTCTCGTAGCCACCGAGCCACAGCATTAGGGAGCGGGCGCTTGGCTGCACTCACGACACCATGGACTCCGCTAGTCAAGGTAAATGTTGCGGCGGGGAGGTTAGGCAGCCGCTCTGGCGTTGGAAGGCGCCTCGGAGCTCGGCGTGGCCGCCGCCCGAGGGCCTCCGTTCTCTCCCTCGCCGTCGGCGGGGCTGGCCGAGCGCGTCTGCTGGCACCGCGTCCGGAAACTCGTTGGCTAAAGAGAAACTTGCTGTCGGGTTAAGCTCCGTTGAAGGTGATTCCACGTGAACTGCTGGAAACGCCTTTACTTAACGCGCTTTAATTAATCGAAAGTTAAAGATGTTGTCGCGTTTTAAGCCGACGACACCTGCTTGTGTGGCAGTGGCATTAGCAGCTGATTATGTATATTTGCGGAGCCAGACGGGATGTTAATATATTTAAGTAATATGCAATGATCCAACCCTGACTGTCAGTACAGCGTGTCCCGCACCTCGCTCTGCAGGCTCGTTGACCCGGTTTTCCTCGGACCCCCCCCCCAGTTACAGTTTCTGCAGCTCAGCCACCCCGTGCCTGTCGCCGCGTCCCTCCTGCTTCTATTTAAGGGAGGGTGCGGCGCACATGCATGTTTGCTTATCTCTTGCTTTTGATTACTTGCCTCGCGGAGTGTCGCTTTCAGTAACAAAAGTGTCACAACTTCAGCTATTTCTGTTTAGCTGTTAAAGCATACTTTTGCTTAGGCTGAATGTAAAAATCGAACTGTTGCATAAAGTAATCAAATAAATCTTGCCATTCCTCCATCGATTACTTTACTCCTATAAAACCGCAGTGAGTTTTTTTGCATCCCCTCTCGCATACCTTTTGTTTGTATGTTGTGTATAATCTGGGGGCATCCTTATTGAGTCAGTTACTCAAATGGGGATTTGATTAAAAACCAGTAGGCTGAGAAGTCAGCAGCTGATGCGCATGTCCCAGATAGACCGATGTAAACAGCCCCCCTCCCCTTACCTTCGGTATTTTATAATGCATTACCACCCTTTCTCTCGTCTTTCTGCTTGTGTCCTGGTAATGGTGCAGACATTAACCTCAACTCTCCCAACAAAGGCCTGGGGTCGGACCTTCCAGCTCAGGGAGCTGCCGGTACTGCCCCCAGTAACGCCACCAGCACTCTGCCACCGGGCATGACAGAAGAAGAGGCACAGGAACTGCGGACTGAGCTTGCGAAGGTACTGCGCCACCTGCTGACTGCCCTCCGCGTAGCACTCAAACAGGCACAGAAACGTTTGAGGGGCCTGTGAAGGGCAATCCCTTTGTTTGTCCGGTCACCATTTAAGCAGCTCCGCCCCTCATTTTATCTGCAGTGTGGGTTTAAAGACACAGCGGAGGCTCTTTAGGGGTCGAACGAATTTGGCTCTCTCTCCTCCCAGGTGGAGGAGGAGATCCACACCTTACGGCAAGTGCTGTCCGCCAAGGAGAGGCACGCGGCCGACCTGAAGCGGAAACTGGGCCTGAATCCGCTCAATGAGCTCAAGCAGAACATCAGCAAGAGCTGGCAGGACGTCCAGGCCTCCAACGCGTAAGTGTCCACCGAGGGAAGAGCCTCACACTCTTCAAAATAAACATTTGATCCGGCGTCCACCTCTAACGCAGCGAGCGGCTGCCGCGGTGGCGCTCGAGGTCGGCGTGTTCCTGGGTTCCCGGCGACCGTCTCAGTCACGCCAGGCAGCTGAGATGTTCAAGGCTTGGTTTGAGAACACACACGTTTGAAAATGCCATCAAGCATCTGTGCCATCTTTGTCCAAGGCCCTTTCATGTCCAAATGACTTGCTAAAGCTTCCAGAAATACCCATGTTATATATTACGACAGTACAAACTTGTTGCCTCGAGCCATGGGGTCTGGGAGAAGGGGCAAGGCCTAAAGTGTCACGCTCCGTGTGTCAGAGCTGTGTCATTCAGGCCGTCTGGTTCCCTCAGGGGTGGGGGGGTGTCCCTTTGTCCTTAACCACATCTTTCTTTCTAGCTATGTGAAAACCGCAGAGAAACTCGCCAAGTGGAACGAGGCGTTTACCGGCTCCCACTTGTGAGTTTGTTGCTTAGCGCCGTGGTGCCGTCGTGGTCCGGCTCCGCCCTCCTCTCCATGCGCCTTCCTTTTGGGTCGGGCCGCGGGAGGCTGGGACCCGCGGTGAGACTGGACCGGATGTCCATCCTGATGGCCTTTCTGCTTTCGCTGCCGCCATTAACGATGCTACTTAATGATCGCGCTTGCTGCCCGTGACCGTAGCTCATGGCTGTTTTTAAATTATTATTTTTAAACTTCCGCTCCGCGTTTCTCTGAAGCTGGAAAATTCCCTCAGTGGAAGAACAACCAGTTGTGGGCTTGGCAGGACCAGCAAGATTTCACACTAGGAGCTTCACAACGTGCACCGTATTGCGTCTGGTCTATGTCCCCTTGGTCCCATTCAGGCTGGTTTAGAGAGATTACATCTCCCAGCTGTTTCCACGGGAGTCGGCTCCCACTCTAGGCCTTGGCAGAGGTGATAACGCAGCCTAACCACTAACATTCGCTGCCGTGCTGCTTGTTTTTTTTTGCATTATGAGGCATTTTATAGCAGTTACATCCTGCTAGTCCTCTGCCCAGGTGCTGTGGATGTAAGGGGTCTCCTCTTATCCTGGTCCTTCTTCCTGTTCCTGTCTCACTCCTTCCTGCAGGTGGAGGTGGTATTCGGTTCACTACCATTTATTTATTTACTTGTTTATCTTTTTGTCTCTTATGTTTTTTTAAAAGTCTAAGAAAAACATCTAAACATTCTTCATCGGCATATAATGTAATACAATGTATTTTATAAAGTGCAGTTAAGTAAAGCTTTAAATTAATTGTTAATCTGTATGTAACTTTACTCCAAAAGGATGTAATGTTTACACTCAAATGCTGTTGGCTGCCTGAGCCAACTGGTCGGACAGGTTTTTTGCTAATTGATGACACCAGCTTCTCCTCGTACATCCTCCTCACTTCAGTCTGCTGGTGGCCATCTAGCCTGCCTTCTGTTGGCCGGTCTTTGTCACATGACATTTAGTCCCATGGTATTTAAATTGGATCATCCGTCTTTATTCAGTCCAAAAGGTTTTTAATTTCTTTAAACTAATGGACTTTCTGTTGCAAGCATGTTTTTTGTTGTTTTTTTTTTGGCCAAAGCAACGTACAGTTGAAGCAGATCATCACTAACGGCTTGAATTCCTCTTTAAAGTCTGAATAATCTATTAGCCAAGCTGTAACGTTCGGTCCAGTCACACAGACTTCCCCTGTTCGTTTTTGCTGGACTGCAGATGTTTTGCAGTCTGACGCTTTCCCTCCGCATCTCCCATGGGGCTCTGCCGGCCCCCGGCGGTTTTGTCCCGCAGCCAGTTTTGCCCGTGCTTGCGCCGTTTCCGTCAGTCTGTGTCTCTTATAAACATTACGGCTGGCTGGCAGCTGGAGTCTTCACAGCGTCGCTGTAGCTCTGACCGGCTTGGTGGTTTCCGCGTACCTCTGGACGTAGACCTTAAGTGTTGCCTTTTCACTGTAGCCCATCTGTGTCAGCCTGTACTGAGCTTAGAATGGATACTGCTATTTTTGTTTCTTAAATCCTTTGCATTTGTAATGTTTTGGAACTATAATCTGTGCCCTTTTCCCCCTCAGTGATGTGCATGTTTCCCCTCCCATGAACAATCTTTTGAATACAGTCTAATACTTTGTTTGTAGATATCTCTCAGCGTCGGCCACTTTGGAGGACATTAGCCAATCAGAAGCGTGAGTTTTTTGGTTCTATTTTTTTTTTTTTATGTTTATTTTTTTGTTCTGGGTTTATTGTCTTCGGGTGCCTTTCAGTGGGTAGTTTTGTTTCGGTATTAACAGTTCCTGCGTAGCAGTACGTTTTTCTCTTGGGATTATTGGGTCTGAGGTTGGGCCCCTGGTGCTTTTAACTCTTTGAATTATTCTGATGTGGCCAAGCTTCATATCTGTCAGTACTTTTGGGGGGAGAGAATAAATTTTTTTTTAAAAAGCCGGTGTTTCCGAAAATGGGTTGTTAAAGTCGATACGGCTAGATCAGACCCGGCGGTCCATGGATAGCAGGCGAGCTGAGCGTTTGCAGCCGTGACGCCGTGTGAAGGTTAATTGGGATCTGCTGGAGCAGAACGGGGGAGGGCGGGCCTTAGAGCTGCACGGGTTGTACAAGAACGGGACATGCCGGTGCGTCGTGTTTGGCGCGATGACTCCCCCACTCGATCCCTGCACTCCTGCCCACGTCAGCATGAATGTTACAGCTTAAGGGAGAGACTGCTTCACAGCTCTCAGGAACAATCCAGTGTCCCCCAGTCCACTGGATCCCAGTCATCTGGCCAGGAAATTACTATTGAAAGTCAATGTATGTTATAAATATAGCATTATTACAGTGGAATTCTTTTATTTAATTTTGTCTGTGGCATTCAATGCCGCAATAATGGTGAAGTGTATATGTAAAAAGAATTAGTGAAATTCCTGTGTTTTTCAAGCCTGGTCCTAAATGCCCACCAGGTTCTAGGGTGTTTGTTAAGCTGCCTGTTCATAAACATCACTTGTGATTTTAACTAGGCATATTACTTGTCAACCTGAATTTCAGTGTTGACCATAACTTTGAGTTTTTTTTTTATTAAACCATATTAAATATTCCTGGTTAATGATACTTACTTCCTAAGTACTTAGGCATGAAAGGGATTACTTTAAGTGTTATGAATGAGGAAAAACGCTTGGGCAAAGGGACCATATTTAAAACGAACCAGCACAAGCATAATTCCACTGCATGAGGCTGCATTAGTCTTTATTGAATTGATTAAAATGTGAGCTGCACCTTCAGAGGAGTTCTGCTGGTTCCCAAGCACGCAGACAGCTTTTTATTTTCTCCCTTCCTTCTCCTCCCCGGATTCTAGTTGCGTAACTAAGGTGAGGCTCTGTGGTGTAATGACCTTGCCTCTTGTGATACCCTGTGCTCAAGAGCAGGAGATTAGCTTTTTTGTGTGGCCCTTATTTTGTCGAACGGAGACCCGTGGCTCTCTGGACAGAATGAAGCATGTGATGCGTCGATTGAGCTTGTGCCATTCAGAGCTAATGAGCTAATGTAGCCTAAACTGAGAGTGAAGCACACTGTGCCCGGAACTGACTGCATCCTTTTGGGGTTGGTGTCTTTGGGAAGCGTTTCCTGCTTGTTTCACTGTTTTTTTTTTTTTTTGTTTTGTTTTTTAAATACGCGTTAGAGTAGGTAGGTTTAGTTTTAGCCGTCGGTGGCGTCGCTGCACGTTATGACGGCGGCAGTGGTCCTTCGAGGCCTCCCACACTCAGGCCTATGCCCCCATGTGCCCCCCCTCCCAGGTACAAGAAGACTCAGGAAACTCTGTCTCAGGCCGGCCAGAAGACCTCCGCCGCCCTGTCCACCGTGGGCACTGCCATCAGCAGGAGACTGGGGGACATGAGGTACGTCGGGGGCTCGTGGCCTGGCCCAGCTTACAGGAGGAGCCCCCTGGGCTTGGAAGTCTCTTCTGCCCCAGCAGGGCCTGTGTTAGCAGTGATCAACACTGGCTTCTGTGAAAATGATGGCGTCTCCTGTATCTTACACGCCTCGCCCACAAATTGCTGTACAGTGACGTATCCGTCCAGAGTGTTTTCCGCAAATAGAGGGCTCTCACTCGCGCAGATGCTGGGATTGTGGGATGCATCGTACATCTGTCGTATAATTATGCAGCCTCCAGTGATGTTTTTTTGCTGGAAGAAGTCGAGCACCTATAATCCAAGACCATCTGGATCCTCCTTTGGACGCCATTTAATGGTGCCTTTGGAAGATGAACATTGAGACCTTTCGATGACAAATGACAAGGATGTGACTCAGTTCCTGACACACACCCAGTATCAGCACCACTATGCTGCTGGGGATTTCATGCTGTGTGTGTGTATCCCTGTTCCTTCCTGGCATGTGCCCTTTCTCCCGGTTCCTTGATTCCTGTTGACGCACACAGCTCCTCCCGCTGCTGTATTGTCCTGCCTTTTTGAGATTTTGTTTAAATCATTATTCATCATAAATGCTCTGTGGCCACAGAGGCGATCAGTCTGTCCCGGATAAACTCCAGTCGCTAATGTTTTCCCAGCAGTTCTGTAGTTACTGTAAAACGGCTATTTCTGTCACCTTATGGTGCTGCCCGCTGCTTCTGTATGGCAGGGCGCCCCCTGCTGGTATCACAGGGTAACATCTGCTGAGACTCCGCCAACAGTGGTGCACTGTCCTGCTGGCGGTCGTATCCGATTTGTTTGGGTCTGTTTGTGATGCCTGTCAGTGTGTAAACAAATATCCACAGGGGTATGAGCTCCATGCGTACCCCCACGCCTTTCCCCCCCCTTCCTCGATTGCTGCTCGTTGTCTTGCTCACCCCGACTCTCTCCTTTCTGTTGCTGCCTGCCGGCCCCTCAGAGCCCTGCCTTTCTCACACTCGCTTAGGTAAGACCACACTCTTGTCTGTAGTAAATGGCACATTTTTATTTGTTCACCTCCCCTGGTATGTTAAGTTAAGCTGATCACACAAGCGCTGCGCTTCCTGCCAGTTTTTTGGCCTTATTTGAATGATCTGTTGAGCGTAACAGTCCCTGTTTCATCATCCTGGCCCTGAACACTTGCATGCTTGCGACACGTTTGGCTTTAGCCCTGATCTCATTGCTGCTTCAGGCTCCTCTTATTGTTCCTCTTTGTCCCCTAATGCCTTCCGAGTAGCGGTTACTCCATACGCCACTCGATAAGTATGCCGGCGATGAGGTAAAGTACCAGTTCCCATTCGCTCCGTTTGTAACACCATGATGTCAAAACCTCTAATGCTTCTGGTGACCATTTTGTGTATTATTTCTCCCTTTATAGTGTGTTTTTTATGATCTTTACTTTTTTCGAATCCTAGGAACTCCCCAACCTTCAAGTCATTCGAGGACAAAGTTGGCAACATAAAGGTAGGATTTGTCACATGACAGACAGGCTGTTAGAGGTTAACATTCCTCCCAGACCTCGAAGTGGGATTGGTCACATGCCTTTGCTTGTTTATATCTCTGTGCAATACTAATGCGTCTGTCTCACTCTCCATGCCGGTGTGCAGTAACTAATGCGTCTGTCTCTCTCTCCATGCCGGTGTGCAGTAACTAATGCGTCTGTCTCTCTCTCCATGCCGGTGTGCAGTAACTAATGCGTCTCTCTCTCTCCATGCCAGTGTGCAGTAACTAATGCGT